ATTTCTCATTTAACACAAAAATATCTTTAAATAATATTTTGAATTTTGAATCAAATTTATTTTGCGATTAATTGCGATTAATTAGATTAATCGGAACGTCATGTAATTAGATTAAAAATTGACAGCCCTAATTATATTACATTACATTATAGTTCAAAAGAACAACATTTATTTGAAAAATATATTTTCTTTACTGTCACTTTTAATCAGAATAATGCATCTTTAGGTATTCATTTCTTTCAAAAATCTTACTGACTGAACAGTAGTGTATATTATATATTTATTATATATTAATCAGTATAACAATTTGAGTTACATGACAAATGAAAATTAACATTAATTCAGAATGTCTTTTTAACCACACTTTTGCTTTAACCACAAATATGTAACATCTGACCATCTGTACAAAGAGCCACTTGATTTGATTAATGACCTAAAATAGTACAGAATCTGAAATACTTCTTCATTTTACATCATACATTTTCTTTGTTTTACATTTTTCAAAATCCTGAGCATTATTTATTCTCAGGTTTAAATTATATTTTCAATCCCCATTGCACTTTTATGTAAATGTACTAGACTTTTAATGTTATCTGCAGCAGAGGAAACTTACCATGAGGGCATAGTCATCTTCATGTTGAGTGTTACAGGGATTCGGGGTCTAGAGTCAGAAAGTATGATCATTTATTCTTTGTAATAAATTACAAGGAAATCAAGTGATACTAACATTTTTGTATTGCATAACAATAAACGCATCAAGAAATATTTTGCGATTCACAGGCTTTCACTTACGCATGTGGGCAGATGTATTTGATGTATGGCAGTCGAATAGACGTCATGGTATCAGCCCAGCCGTGTCTATAAAAAGTAACACAACAGGGTTATTTCTACACCAGGGCAGGGGGTATTAAAAGATCCCGCAACAGGCAGGTAATAAACAGAACGTACCCTGTGTCACCCAAGCCATGAAGGAAGATCACCTGCAAAGTTAACAATTAAATGTGAAACTTATCTCTGCAAAGCACCAAAGAGGCCAGATTTCCTGTTTGATGCTGGCTCTTGGTTATTTTATAAAAAGATACTATCTCAATAGCAAACTTGAGCTTTCTATGAATCTATTCGCCCTTTTCTTCCAATAAAGAAGAAGGCAGGCAGCCTATTTGAAGGTTTGAACTGTAAACGAGAATTTGAAACTTTCTGTCATCATTTACTGACTCTCATGTCATTCCAAACCCAAAAGACTTTAGTTAATCTTTGAATCACAAATTAAGATAATTTTAATGAAATCTGAGAGGTCTGTCCCCCTTTTAAAGTGTAGGTAACCAAAATTTAGAATATTCATAAAGGTCATAAAGGCATTGTAAAATGAATCCATATGAATCGAACTGTTTAATCCAAGTCCTGGGAAGAGATACAATTGCTTTATATGAAGAACAAATTTAATTTAGGCTTTTATTCACATATAAACACACATACATAGAGCACATTACATATGATAAACAGATTCCTGTGCATGTCAAGCACAAGAACAAACTCTTTAGTTTTCACGCAATGCGCAGCATTTTGAGCTTGTTTATAATATGTGATGTGATTCATTTGCAATGCCTTTACGACCTTCTTGGATCTTCTAAGTCTTGGTTACATGGACTTTCAATAGAAGGACAGAAACTTCTCAGATTTCATTAAATATATGTATCTTAATTGGTGTTTTGAAAATGAACGATAGTTTTATTTACTCACAACACAAAGGTGAGTACTAAATGACTTTTCATCTTTGGGTGAACTATTCCTTTAAGGAAACTTAAAATAACTGACCTGTGTAATGCAAATGAAGAACTTGGAAAACTTTTGATTTTAGTCAATGATTCGACTGGTATCTTACCACAGCCGTTTCCTTCTCCGTCCCAGGCACTGTGACGGCTTCAGAGAGCAGGGGTACAGACATGTTGTTGCCACACATACAATGTGAGGAGTGCTTTTAGGAAAATACAAAAACAAAATGTTCAAATGCAATCAGTACAACATATGTTTACGCAAAATACAAAGGCCCAGGCAATAAGTACTGGACATATGGTTATTAAAGATACGAACCAGACGATTTTAGAAAGAAACTGTCAGCAGGCTGCAGAATGATTAACAAAGGTTGGTTTAATTACCAGTGTTATTAAAGTCCTTTCAACTAGCAATTCATGCCCATCTAAAACTAAAAGTGCTCTATTGCACCTGCAGAGCATCTAGACGTGAAAAAGAAACAGAACGTTGAAAGATAATGTAAAAATTACAGGGTGATTTAGCCTACTGGATAAGCGCTGATGCTTATGTTAATCATACAGATTCATTTTCCGCTGGTGACTGTGCAGACATCTGCTTACTACGAGTTCTCGGAAAACTGTTTCTAATGAAAACCACGGGTCCCTGTTTTCCTGGAACCACATGACAGCACTGAGAAATCGAATCTTTGACAGCTGCAGGAAGCAAAACACTCCAGTTTAATGGTTTCATTCGTCTTTGAGTGGCCTGGTTGACCATATCACAAGTTTAAGCCCGGAGTGTTTCAACACTTGAATGAACTCCTCCATGTGCCAGTCTTGGTTTTATGGGTCGGTCCGGCTTTCTGAACTTTAGTACTGCACATGTTATCAAATACTTCAATCAAATCATCTGCTACTGATATCTCCACTAAATACCAGAAAAATACACTTTTCAACTAAAGTGCATAGTATCCTAATGCACCAGTATGCAATTCTTACACCATGACTTATACACATTAATGACTGTACTGATTATCTCTAATGCGACAGTGAAATAATCCTTCACATGTATCCTGCTATGAACAACACGATCATGTATTCAAAAAGAATGGGAAGAAAGGGTTGGGCAGCGAAAACAATAGAGAAATCGGCGACGCTTAGCTCTTTTTTTTCCCAACCTGGCGGAATCAAGGACAGAGTACATGTATAAATAAAGCCGCTAGGTACTTTCATTAATACTCGAGCGACATGATCGCAGTTAGGCAGCTTAATCCTGTTTCGTCTGTATGATTGTCACAATGAAACCACAGCCTCATAGATGGAGCTATCTGGATCTCGAATAATCCCACTATTGCGCTACTCAGCGACAAGCTTGCGCGTTTATAGCTAGCGATAAAGCCAAGGTCAGTGGGTAGATTAAAATTTAGGGTTCAGGCAGGAAAAAAAGCAGATATAAACAGCGGCCCACTGCTACAAATTTATTGACTCACCGCTTGCTATCCCAGGTCACAACGGAACTTCCGCTTCTTCTGCCGGAGAGGGGTGGAGACACAGCGCTGTGATGTCATCGTATTTGTTCAACCGCGTGAGGTTCAGTGTAGCAAATGTGGAAGCGGATTTAAACATTTCAACCTTATATTTTGTAAGAGTAAGGCTAAAACATGTCAAAATTAATTATTTTCTAAATTTTCACAATCAGAATAAAAGCTTATATATATATATATATATATAAAATGTGTGTCACTTTATTTTTAATTTATATTTCATTTTTGTATTATTTAGCCCATCACACACACCACTACAGCACTACTTTCCTTAACACCTGGACCTAGTTGCAACACACCTTTTAAGTTAAGAAAACCGTTAGTTATAATTTATAAACAAAATATCATTAAGAGTTTTCTTAACTTACCAGTGGTTTGTTGCATTACAGCAAAAATTATGCTAAAGTGAAGAGAAATGGGTTTGTTGTGATGGATGCTCAAAATGGATCCATCTTCACTTCTGTTACAACATACATGTATTTGTGAAAAACACATGAACTGAAATTGTAGCTCTAAGATGTGCACCACTATTTAAATAGTAGCAGAATAATAGAAGTTGTTATAAAATCAGTGATATGAAAAGGCAAAAGCGATTGAAATTAACCAGGAAATGTTCTTTAAAACTTTCTTTTTACACAAACTACACAAATCCATCAATGTTAGACACTTTTGAGGTCTCAATTAAACATTTTCTTAAATGGTATTGAATGTCAGAGTTGACCTAAGGTAATAATGCAAAATAATATTAAATGGATGAATAAAACTTTGTAAAACAGAGTAACAACAAACTTCCCACACTTTAGCGATGTTTTTTTAAGGAACAGGCTTCTTTGCAAGCCTCATCTGTTCTGTTAGTTGAAGGATACACTGTTTATTTGACATAAGCATACATGAAGTAATTATGCTTATATAGCCTAAGGTTTATTGGCACATTAGCAGAATTGCAGATTAACAAACCCTTGTGAAGAAAACCCTGTTGAACACATCAAAGAACACACAGGTTCTCTCAGTTCATCATCTCACCGTTATCAAAACTCATGCACACTTTTATAGTTTCACACAGCACACGTGAGATTCTCTGTCCTCCATTTGTCATGATATGAACTGTGTCTGAGGTGTAATGGTCTCCACTTTGTGATCTGCTGGGTTGGCTGCTGCTTCATAGTTGCAGATTGTGACCTCATGCCTATGAGCCTGAAAGAGATAAAAAGATACCAGATGACGGTGACTGCAAAAATGCAGATGCTTCTGGATTTCTCAACTTATTTTTCTTTCCAAAGTAAAACAAATATTTATAAAAACAGTAACATTAGCATAATATTGTCAGAATATGGCACATCTTCCACCAGTTATTAATAATGATGATGGAAGTGTTGTTATAGCATGATATATGTTTATCCAGTACTGACCTCTGTGTACTCTCCCCGCAGACCAATGTAATACACATGAGTGGATTCTGCCCCAAAGTTTCGAGATATGTGGATTGATAAGTGCTGGACGTTGGAGAATCTTGCAATCCTATATAAAATATTGGGGGGTGGTCAACATAGATTTATAGTGTCCAACATACAGGATGTACGATGAATGTGCTTATGCACATGTTAACATTCTTAAAATTGCTTACTTGGTAGGATACTCAAGCTCAGCAAGCGGATCCCTGTTTAGACGAAACGCTTGCTCTGGCTCTCTGCTTGTATCATCAAATGACATTTGGGGGATGTTCTTGTACCTGCCCAAAAAAGTACCCACTTGCAACACTCATTCATGTAAATTGTAATTGCATTATCCATATGTGATGCTACAAAAGATTTTTTTTTTTTTTTTTTTTTTACAGTGAAAGCAAATTCACAATCTCATTTTAGCTGTGATGCAATGTGGATGCAAATATTTAATTGAATGCAAGCGCATAGTTCACCCAAAAATGATTATTTGCTGAAAATTTACTCACCCTCAGGCTATCCAAGATGCATGAGAGTTTGTTTCTGAGTTTTTGATCTGATAAAAACGGCACCCATTCACTGCAGAGCATCCATTGGTGAGGAAGCGATGTAATGCAAACATTTTTCCAAATCTGTTCTGATGAAGAAACAAACTCATCTACATTTTGGATGGCCTGAGGGTGGGTACATTTTCGGCAAATTTTCATTTTTATGTGAACTATTTCTTTAAAGCAAATTTTAAGTTATATAGATCTTTTATAAAGTTATTTTTATAAAACATGTTGTTGCTTTATTTATATCTGTTAAACAAATGTACAACAATAGACACAAAACTATTTTAAGTTTTGTAATATTTGGCCTTTTACACAATGTTCTTTTTAATAGTTTATCAATTATTAGCAATTATTAAAACAAACTGCTTGGACACTCAAGCTCAGCAAGCAGATTCTCGTTCCCAGTTGCAACACTTATTCATGTAAACTGTAATTGCATTGTCCATATGTCACACTACAAGAGGTTTTTTTCCCAGTGAGTGCAAACTCACAGTCTCATTTCAGCTGGGTGTGACTCATCATCTTCTCCAGAAATAATGATCCCTTTCAGCTTCACGCTACCTGTAAACCTGCAGATTTAATCATATGCACCAACTATATACATTTCTATTGGAAAAGCACATAGTACTTAGGCAATTATAATAATCAGAAGATAATTAAGAACAGAAGAGAAACTGAAATGAGTGTGAGAGAATGGATGCTGCTCGCAACAAATCTTACGGTATATTGAACAGAAGCTCCTCGTCGGCATCGCTTTCAACAAACTGAAAATAAAACGGGGGACAAACATTAGAACAAACAGAACAGGATTCTAACAATCGAGCAATCCGTTTATTTAATTTCTCAAAAGACAACCGTCGTCTTTTACTTAGAAGAGTTCATACAAAGTAAAATAAACATGCATATATGCAATATGCAATTAGGTATGCAAGTAAATACAGAAGTGTCTTAATTCGCAGTTTGACTCTATTCTACATGATAATTTAACGTCTGTCACACCTCCTGCGTAACTAAGCCAGGTTAATTGGTACCTTCATCCGGTCAGTGCGTTGATCCCAAGGCTTGAACACCAGTTTACCGTCTCCGTCTCGGCTCTCATTCAAACACTGAAGCTTCTCGATATCAATGCGTCTGTACAGCTCATATTCCACTCCTCGCTCTGCTGGCTCGTGATCGCATTCACAGCAACCGTGACTGTGTCCACCGCCGTGGCCGTGACCGTGTCCAGACATGGCGTGAACTTGCAGTTCGGGACCGGAAAAGTGCCGAAACGCTCACAACTAAGCTTAATGGAGATATGTACGACAGCTCGAGCGGCTTCTGTCACATCTGCTAAAATCGTAGTTACCCATGTGATAGAAGTGGGAAAGTAGACAACACGCAAATACGAAACGTGGAACGTGATTGGACCACAAAAGCCAAGGGAACCAATGAGGAGCAGAGTTTGGAGTCGCGTTCTTGTGACGCATTAATGTCTCATTGGTCGCGCCGCGTCGCCGTAAATAAAGTGGAAAGAAAACAGACTGGGCTATAAGCTATTAAATTAAATAAAGATTATGACAGTATTTACTCGGTCCAATGTTGTTCATTCTCCATTTTCTGTTTGATACAAAGATTAAATGTTTTGGCATAACGTCAATCACTTTTTAATGTCTTTTGCGTTCCACTAATGAAAAAGAAAGTCATACAGGTTTGGGACAACGAGATAGAGTAAATAATGATATAATTTCCATTTTAGGTGATAGGATAGAGTGATAGTGAAAAGTTGAAAATGAAAACTTTAATTTAAATACCGAATCATAACCAACCCAATTCAGTACAAAATTAAAGTTAAATTCCCATAAATATATACATGGATAAATAAGAACATGGTGAGAGCAACACATGGATTTTATTTTAAAAATGTCCATAGAACACTTCATAAAATCTATTAAAATGACTTGATCTTTCATTCATGGCAAGGTCCAGGACTGCCAGGTCCAAGATTTAAAATAAATATAATGGTGTGGAATTGTACGGTCCTTGAACTTTTTACATCTCATCTCATTCTCCCTCTCACTCTACAATAAAATCATACTTAGTCCCATGAAAATGCAATGAAATGTAAGCAATTAAACACATAACAAAGAGTCTGGGTTCTGGTGTCACATGGTAATCTGTAGTGTACCACTTGTTTTCTGTGTTTGTAAAAAGCTTACAACATGCTATGACAATTGAGCGTGGATGGTTGTTGATGCAGATATTTTCTGTGATTGCGTCCAGTGAACTGTACTGATAATATTAAAAAGCATAAAAAGATAAGAGATGAGAGGGCATTGCACATTTTCTATGAAGCATTACAGCAAAAAAATGTTTCCTCCGTCATGTCGTTCTCTTTTCTATCACACACACAAAAACATGTTTCCCTTTACCGCCGGGAAAATCTGTTCTTGAATGCTTTGATAGTCTTAGCCATCATTGGGGCAACTTCTGAAAAAGAGTGAGCAGAAAAGTGGTGAAAAACATTCAAACAACCAGTTCAAGCAAATAAATGAACAAATTTTGGACATGATCTTATCAATATTAATGGTTAATATTCAATACAGAAATTATTACAAGGAGTATATGTAGAGATAGTTGTAGATAAACATGTAACAGCAACAACATTTCCTCTTAAGACTCACTTTTGACCTGCGGTTTGTCTCTGGCACTGTGACCACCAGCACTGCTGGGAGCAGAGGGGTGTGAGGAGGACTCAGGTGGACTGCTAAAAGACGAATGACCACCATCACTGGATTTGCTATGAAAGCTGTAGTTTGTTGCTGGTCTGATCCTGTATATGAAGAATTAGCATCATATTTAAATGGAATTACAAAAAAGAAAATACACCTCTGTTTACTTTTGAGAAACTCAGAAAGCAGATTGTCAGTAGAAACGTCATGATAAAGAGTCATCTACATGACTAATGACATCTGTGTGACTAATGCAGCATTCACTTACTTGGCAGATGGAGGAGCAGCGCTTGTGCTGGGAGAACCATTTTTAGTGCCAAACTTCTCCTGTCTACGGCGGACATCTCGAGGAGGCTT